TATATATATATATGAGTTGTTCGAATATTGCGGGACGTATTAAGTAAATATTTATGCCTAATCATGAGCCTTGTGATGAAAGTTTCTTTAAATTATCAGAAAATTCACACATCATATGCTACTGTTAAATATTTTAAATGATTAAAAAATATGTACGAACTCTGTAGCGGTGTTGGGGGTTCAATAAAGGAAAATGGTGTAATTGGAACTGGATAACTCTTGATTGTTCTGAATGAAAGTCTAGCTCTTTATATGGGTCGAAAATTTGAACTAATGGAATCACAATAGGTCGAAAGCTATTCACAGATGAATCAAAAACTCTTTAAACCGACAATGACTGCACTAATCTAGGGTCACACGAAATTTTTCCAATGTCTAGTTCTAAATACGTGAAATGTCTCTGAAAAAGATCATGTGTCTGAAAACTCATGTGGTCTTCATTTATTCTTCAATTTTAGTGCCAATTTCAGCACCTTTGGCTATGCTTTTAATCTAAATAAGCAATAAATGTATATATATATACTATATATGAACTAAATATGTACTATTGCAATTTATTTAGTGCCATTAATGTTGAATTATAGATTCACAAATAAATTCGATGTATATTTCTTGAATGATGATAATAAACTGCCTCTTTAGTGTGACGTTGCCTTGTCATAGACATGGCTACAACTCAAAAATCGAGGAAATATCATAAATCAAATCAAATTAAGATAATAAACCACAAAACATTGCGGAACTTACATAAGCTTCTACAAAATTGAAGGAAAAACAAATTTACTTTGCAATCTACTCTAAAAATGTCCCCTCATATAACTTAATATCCAATATGTCGGATGAAATCCAGAAAGGAAACTATTAAGATGGAAAATGATGAAGGAAGTGACGACAAATTCAATTTGATTTGTAACATGAAAGCTAGTTTTGTACAGCTTGATAATATATATATACACACAAACTCAATGACATCTAAAATACCTTTCTCTCTATTAGTTCAAAGAATCATTTGGGAAACATTTGTCGCTTTTTGTTAACATTTGGGACATTGAAATAGAAAAATAAAGGAAACGAAAATTGATATATGTTTATAAGAACAAAAAAATGTGATGATAAAAAAACATTTCAATAAGAAACATGAGAATCGTGCGATTAAGTGTAAACGTGTGCGTGATGAAAATATCCATTATTACACAACAAAAGATCATTCGAGTTATGAGAAAAACGATAACGGTGATAATGTCATGAGATATTCATTAGGAATAAAGCTTATGTCTTCACCAATTTGGATCAATAAAATTGTTGGTTTCGGTCAAAATGTTTATGTTTCCTTTGAAAGATTTATTTGTGAGAAAATTAATTGATTGATTTTTCGGACAATTTTTTACTCAAATTTTGAGAGTTCCTGCCAACAATCTAGAACATTTTTTATATGCACCTTAAAGTTTATCATATTCACACCGTGATCACGTGTGAATGCATTGTTTTTATTCAGATTGAAAAATCAGTTTTCTCCTTTTGTGAGGACATCAATCAAGATAGCTGAAAATGTCCAGAGAAGAAAGTTTTATGCCTGGAATTAAACATCTTCTGCAAAAACTCAAATTTCAAATTCATTAAGGCATTGCTAAGAAAATAGCAAAATACGCTTCTGTAAGCAAGCAAACAAGCAAGCAAGAAATCTCAATAACGAGACATCGTAGAGACTTCTAGTCTTTTACATTCCATTCGTGATGCCATATTGATGAGCTGAATAATTTTTGGGCAAGGTAAGTAAAGCCACTGCTTCAAAAAAAGCAAAAAACATTCATTTCTTACGAATTTTAATAAAAAAAAACGTTGCTGTGATTTTCATTAAATTCAACTTTGATTTAGAAAGAATTTTAAGAATGTTTGGCACATCCATTCAGCTTTAAACTTTCAAGCATTTGCTGCGCAAAGCTTGGTCTATTAATAAGACTTTTGATGGTACGGTGTAAATATATCCGCATTGAGTTTCTACCCGATACACTAGTTTAGAAAGCATTTTATCTAATAAATATCATGCAGTCAGTGGTGTATAAAAAAGACAACGTTAAATGGAAATGTTAAGGAAATTTCAATTTCCATAACTCTTTCTAGTATTGCTAAAATTACAGCAAACTATACTTATTTTAATGCAATAATGAGACCACATAACGCATTATAAATTTTGAAATTGTGCTAGTGTACATGAACAAAAAAAAAACAAAATTTCCGCAAAAAATCCCCTGCGGTTGCATAAATAGTGTAGCTTTGTATAAATAACATACAATGATTTCTATTATTACAGTGAAGCAAATATACACAAAATTCTCATTTTCCAACATTATATTTTTTTCTCATCTACTCTGTTTCTCTCTTTAGTCCAATCCCTTGTTTGCAACATCATCATGACATTTCGCTCCTATTCAATTTGATTTCAACAGCATGGTTTAAAAGCTGTCGACTGACAGTTAAATTATACGAATGATAACATCATGTAGAAAAATTCTTTTTCTGTATTTAATTTTTTTAATTCATAATATTGACAGTCGAAACTTTCTGTGAATGAGATCATCATTATTGTGACTACATGCTGCTTCCATGTGAGTAATTAAGAACTTTATTTAAATAACTTTACTCTTCATTTAAAGATAGCTATCACTGCATAGATTATATCAACATTTGTTTGTAAATTATGAATTCATTAATTCATCACTGAACAGAAATGGAAAAATATGAGACTGAGTAAATTGAGGAATCTAAAGCATAATACTTAGAAACAAGTCACGTTTATGAAATAAATTCGAATAAAATGTATCATCATCATTTATGTGATGCAATTTTCTTTTCCCACAAAACGCTTTTAATGCTCTATTTCTTAGGGATTTCATGTAGCTGACTGCTATTACTTATGAAATGAAATAAGAATCTTTCCCGCACTCGCACACTCAACATTTTGTTATATTTTAAAGCAATTTTATTCATGTATAAGTGGGTGAAAACGTTCAAGTCACTTAATGCATAAATAAATATACTCTTAAATTTAATAAAATTTATATCGTCGTAAGTAAGTGAAAAGAGGAAGAAAATTTCAATTTAAGAATCAAGTTTTGGAATTTTCTTATACTTTATCTTTCTCTTTGGATAAACTTCAATCTTACAGCTTAAAGTCTTTTCAAATGGATAAATTGATTATTTCGAATTTGTTGAATTCCATTGAGATTATTTTGCAGCCATATTATCTAAGTGCAATCATTTGGTGGTTTAAAATTCTTCCTGTTTTTGTGGGTCTGAGAGAATACTCTCAACATTATGATAAGCAACCATAACATGTTATAGTCGAAATAACCATTAAAGGTTAATAATGTAAATTAATGGCCTCACATAATGGTTAATGAGACATTCAAAACTAGTTTTGATCATTAAAGATGGTTATTTTCACCTTAACGGCTTCTCTTTACATTATCACATTCCAACATACTAAATCAATTTATTAGTCACGCTTCGTTAAATAGTTAATTTATTGTTTCGACGCGTTAATTGAAGTGTGAATTTGCAATGATGGTTGATACCAATTCAGAAGATGTATATATTCAAATATACACGTGAAACAAAATGATTTACGATTTGGATATTTGATTGATAGATTGTATCTAATAGATTCATATGAATTATTCCGGAATATTTATCGTGATCGTACAAATGAAGTTTCTATTGTAAAAAACAATAGAAATCAAATTTTTCATATCTAATTCTATTAATAATTCGTAAATTTGTGTGTAATTAGTAGCTTGATGTTTTCGAAAATGAATTAAATTTATTTTAATAACTAATTATTATAAGTTTCAGCTGCTTTTATGCTTTCCTGAGTAGCACCAACAACAACAACTGGTTTTACGTCTTTCATTTCGTTTGACATTATTTCATTGTTCAAATGGGGCGAAATCGAGCATGTTGACGCCTTAGCGTCGCTACCACTGTAAAATTGCGGTTGACATGCTTTTTTCTACTTGATGGTGCCTTGACATCGACGTAAAACCAGGTATTGTTGTTGGTGCTACTCGGGTTTATGTCACTTTAAAGTTTAAACAAAATAAAAAAAAAAAAATTTTTGTTTGAAAATTTCATGACAAAGTAAGAAGGTCTACAAATCCCATTTTTTGATTAACATCATAGCTTGACGACCCCTTTACAAAAATAAATATTTTAAAAATCTAATTTTCATTTGATCATCATTTACATGCCTAACATTAAAAATTAATATTCTTGCTTTTATCAACACATAGAGTCAAATAAGTAAAGAATTAGCGATACTTGTTGGAGCTAACCCTCATTAAAATCAAGCAGTATCCTTTTGAAATATAAAATGTACATTTACTGATAAACGAAATAGGATCATAATTATAAAACTTTTACGAATTCCTTATCAATGGCATATCAAATTTCTAAATAAAATCACTTCCTTTGAAGTTTTCAAGATCCATTCAAGATATAAATGAGATCATTCAATTTAGATTTTCTATTTGTATACATATAAAAGCTTGAGTTCTGATAAATTGAACAATTTTAAGGAATTTTAAGCACAGAAATAAATTAAAATTACACACAAGAATTTCTGCATTGCATTTGAGATAGATATCTGTACATAAAATGAACATTAAATCGAACATAATTGCGCAAGCAACAATTTATGAGCGCCTTAATTTTACCTCCTCTTCCTACTATTTTATTCTCTTCTGTAAATTTTCAGTAGCTTGCCACCCGCTATTTACCACACAATTTACTTTCCAATTCATTCTCAATTCCGAAATGAAGCTAATGAGCTTGTGAAATGTAACAACATCTTCAGAAGCAATAAATAATGAGACTCCTATATTTAAAGCATAAGCTATACGATGATCATAGGGGTACATGTCTACTTTAAATTAAAATAATAACTTAAAGCTATAATTTCTGCACTTTGATTACAAACATTTTATATATATGAAGGCACTCACCTCATTATCTTTATCAGAATCTTTTATGTGCTGAGCAATAAATCGAACTGACTGAATTGCCGCATGAATCTCCGGTGTTAATGTTCTCGGTATGATAATGTGCTCAGGCTCTGTTTTTATTAATATAAATTTCGGTAATAATAATAAGTTGACAATGAATATTTGAATAATAATTGGAAATTACCCGGATTCAGAGGCGGCATATTTTCATAGTCTTGATGACCATTATTGTCCTTGTATTCGTTTGGATAATCTGTTAAGCTTTCCCGATAATGATCCCTATGTATCGTATACGATAGACGAATAAAATGTTAAATTTATCAATTTGAATTTCCAATTGGAATCGGCTGAATATAATTACCTCAAATCAATCTCATTTGTATGAATAGAATCGTCATATTCGGGAAGTGTGTATTTTGTGCGACGCATCATTAACAGTCTTGGCATAAATCCCAAAAATAAACGCTTTATTAATGGTGACATGACATGAGTTGATGATGATCTATAGAATCATATGAAAAACAAAAATATCCTTCAAATCTTATTCAATATATTATTACTTTGTTCATCCATACCTATAATGGACATTTAAGACACAAACTGTCGTCCAAACTGACAATGATACAAGTATCATGGTGAAAAGGAGATATTTTCCTAACAATGGAACTGCTAATGAGGTCGGCGGAATAATTTCAGCCAACAACAAGAAAAACACAGTCAATGAAACGAGAATTGAGATACAGAGTGTGACCTGTAGGGTAGAAGAATAAATTGAGAATTGAAAGGTTAATTTGTAAATAATTTTGCGTGACATTTACTTTTTCTCCTGAGTCAGATGGCAAATAGAAAACTAATACTGTTAAGAATGTGATTCCAACACAAGGAATAATCAAGTTGACTGTATAGAATAAGGTCTTACGACGCATTGTAAGTTTAAATGTGATGTCTGAGAATGGCTCTTCATAGCTAATTTGAAATAAAATTTAATGCATTCATTGATGCTGTCTGTTGGATATTTTATAATTATGTTACCCAGGATAATATTCCTCATTGCGACTGGCTGGTACTTCTAATACATCCCATTCAACACTCAAATAGAATTCTGACAGATCAATTCCAATTTGCACTAAATTTGATCCCGGGATTTGATCTAAATGCTTTAAATCAACTTGTGCTCCATTGTAGGTCCATGATCCAAATTTCATAAAGCAGCTCTGCTCGTCGTATGGAAAGTACTCGACATTCATTTCACATGAACTTTTGTAAATTGCAGGAGGTTCCCAAAATACCTATATGCAGGGGAAAAATTATTCAACATTTATGGGATTCAAGTCATTATAACTCAAACTTGGTGAATTGGGGAACAACTCTTTTTTGTAAAAACATCCCGACGACTCCAACTGGTCCAAAAACAACTTCACATTGGATCAGGACAAGATTCAAGAGCTTTAGTGCACCTACCCTACCCGTTAAATTTTACACTACCTTAAAGTGTAGGAATTGAGTGCCATGTGTTGCCTCAAAAATTGGCCACAGTTTTCACAATATTAATTATCCTTCCAAAATTTAAAAAATTACCTCTCCTGTATATTTTAATGTTGCTTTTGTCATTAAAGTCACTTCATAATTTCCGTCCCAATTATTGAACAATACGACATCAGGAAGCCAAATTTGTTCAGATGGCACATAAAGCTGTTCAACACCACCATATTCCTGATTGTTTTATGACATGAATTATAATTATTATTTTCATACAAATATTTGAAAAATAAGCAATCATACCTCAGGATCCCATTTCAATTTATAGTCATACCACTTTTGCTTAACCCATAAATTTGTTGTCATGACCTGAAAATTATTAAAATTAATAAAATAGTGTGTCATGTTGTCTATGCCAAATTCTACCTGATTTCTTAATGAGACTTCAATAATCTGAGTAATTTTAAGTCCTATCCAAACTGTCAACGTTTCGGTGTTGTTGACAACAGGTCTTATAAGTCTATTATAGTTGCTCAATAAATCATCATACAACCGTTTTGCATCAGGATTTGCTTCAATGTGCACAACAGCTGTTTAAGGGTGGGGAAATTTGCAGTCAGTTTTCTCAGTTTTTCTTAGAAAAATATTTTTTCACGAAAAATTATTTTAAAACTTACCACAATGTGATTTATGGAGGTATGCAAACACGACCAATAACTTTAAAAGTCGCATGGTCAATAAAATTTCTTTTTTAATCCAATATTAACCAGTTTAATTTAATTTATAAATACAGATTTTCATAATATCAACTTTCCACAACAAAATAAATCTGCAGAGTGAAAATATTTGCTGCAAGGAAAAATCGATAAATTTTCGTACTCGAAGAAAATCTTAGGTGAAAGAAAATACTGTGGATGTTGTAAAGGGATGCGGCAAATGATTTATCAGAATTATCAATTGATGTATGAATTTTTGGGTAGCAATAAGAAATGGAATAAAACGTGTGACCGAATTCATGACTAGTTTAAGTTATAAAATTGCATGACATTTCTTCAAATTCTAAAAATTTAAGATCTATTCAAAATTATTAATCAGAAATGTCCTTAGACCATTTTCGAATGATTTAAAAATAATCAAGTGAGTAAAATAAATAGCAATTTAAGGATCTACAATTTATAAATGTGATCATGTAACAAAATGATGATTAAGGTTTTCAAAAATTCAGCATCACCATATCTGAAATTAAACTAAAGGATGGACATAAAGAGCCTTACATATTTGAAATAAATGATTTTTCTTTTATTACATTTTTTTTTAAAAAAAATGAGAATAAGCAACACAACTTAATATTGTTTAATTAACAATGGGTACCATAGTGTTAACATAGTTGTATAGTAGTTTATGTATTGTAGGATCAATAGTTTTAAGCATGTTAACATATTTTTCGTCACCAACTAATCCTTTTAATGAAATTAATTGATTTTGTAAATATTCCTTGAGAACGATTTTGTGGACGCAATCCTTGAGACACATTAATCGATAACGATCATAATGAGGTGTACGATTTTCGTAGCCCTCATCAAAATCACACATTGCATCTACTTCTGCTTGTTCATTTAATATTAATGAATCAACTTCTTCTCCATCTTCTGAATCTTGTCTCATGATGTCACACAATGTTTCGTAAACGTTTATAACAATTACTGAGAAATTCTCAAAGATTATATCATTTGAAATTGTCAGCAATGAGCAAAGACCTATAGCAAGTAATTTCTTGTCCTCATTTTGTGTCACATTTGGCATAGTATTAATCCAAATTGATAAAAACTTTTGAAATGAATTTTCCATTTGAATCTCTTCAAGAATGTGACTTAAAGCCATCTGATTTGCAAGAAAATATCGCACAACAACCTGAAGATAAATCTGCTTGACTGTAAGATAATCGGTGTCATCGAGTAGATTCTTAATAATGTCAATCATGACAGAGTGTAGCAACTCGATTGCATAAGTTGGTTGGATACGGATGATTGAAATAAACAGCTTGCAAATGGTCACAATCCCTTCAGTTCTGATATCTTTCATTAAATATTGACATTGTTGTATAAGTTCCTTTCCATACTTTTGCAAATATAACTCGGGACAGAGTAAAATGTATGCTTGCATGATGAATAGACATGTTCTCAGATTTAATGTTGATTTTTCTTTAAAAAGAAAATAAGATCAAAAAGTTAAAAAGTTTACATATGCTTAGAATTTATTGATATTGACTTACCAATAATTGGGATCAAATTGTCACAAAGCTTAATTAGTGCATCGTTAGGATGTGGAGAATATTGTACTACAACAAGCCACAATTCAAGTCCTTCATCTAGCAGATAAACAGTCGAAGGATCATTTACATTCGTAGACACTTCAATGACTTGATATATAAACGGTGTGACTTGCTCTGGAATTTCATCAATTGCTTTAATGATTTGAAGAATTGCCGATATGATGGCAATTCGTAGCATATTATGTTCGATTCCTTCGTTCCATAAAAGTGGCAGATAACCGATTAAATTCGACGCTTGAATCTTAATTGACAGAGACATTTTTTCAACAATAAAAGCCATAACATAAAGGACATTCATTTTCGTATCGCATTCCTTTGCTTCTTTCAACAAATTAAATAATAGTGTAAATGACGGTTCCAAAAATTCAATATATTGTTCAGCACAAAAATCAAAATCTTCCAAAACAGTTTTTAGTGTTTTTGCAGCTGTAAGTCGAACAACGATGTCCTCATTTCTTTGTAACAGTTCTAAACATGCCTCATATAATGCTGGTCTTAATGATTTAGAGAATTTAACGCCAGACCATTGAGCAATCATCCAAATGATTCTTCGTCTTAGTACTTTGAAATTTGGCTCGTGTAACTTTAACTCGTTCAGTAGCTGCGATGAGAACCAACTGTCAAAATCAATATCATCAAATAAATGAAATGCAACAAGTCCAATGGCATTATAAATTGATTCCTTAATTAGGATATCATGTGGGTCAGAATTAGATGACAATTGAATTTCTTGTGACTTTTGAACATAAACCTTGAGATGCTGACATAAAATGCTACTGTATTTGTGAAATAAAGCCATAAAAAATGCTTCTGTACATGATCTTAAATTGTATTTCCAGCTGTCTCCACCTTCATCACTAACAAATGTCTCTGGATCATTTTCCCATTCTTCAATATCAATAGGTGTCAGGAGGAAATAGTGTGTGAGAAGTTTCTCAACAATATAGCCCAAACGTTCACTCGTAAAAAAGTTCTTTAAAACCTCAGTCAAATTAGAATCTGTTTCCGTTGCACTGCTATAAATATTACAGCTACTGTTCAGTAAATAACCCTTTATCAAATTAAGGCAATGGATCACAAAATTGGGCATCGTTAATTTATTTCCTTCAAATATAAAGCTGGTTCCTTCGAAAAAGACATAATTGAATGACATTTCAAGAACGTATGGCGCAAAGTCGATGAATGCGAGTCGATGAAACTCTTGAAATTGAATTAATATTTTTAGATGTTTAAGGATAAACTTTTCGTGGGTTTCCAACAGTGAAATATAAGCTGATGATTTGATTAGTAAACGACATTCAAGAAGATCTTTTAATCGTTCAAAAATCATTTTAAGGAAAGCTATTGGTTGAGAATTTTGTGATGGCTTTTGGAATCCGTGAATTGTCAATTTACGAGCTATCTTTAAAGCAAGAATAGCTTTTGTCAAATTATTTTCACAAATTGAGAGTTGCTGATTAGATTGAATATTTTGAAAGTATAGTCCAGTAAATCCGTTCCACATGTTGACAATGAAATCAAACAAATTAGATGTAAATTGTTCAAACATCATCCGGTCTTGATGAAAACGTTTAGTTGCCAATGACTTTACGACTTGAACAAGGATTTGTAGTGATCTTTTTTGTTCCAAATCATCAGTGCTGTTAATCCTTTGCAATAAAAGTGGTAAGAGCTCTTGCCAGTCATCAGGACAGTCTAATCTTGCTATTTTTGATATAATAACAGCATATTGCGTTGCTAACTGCTCAACAGGCTCGTTAAATGACTCTAATAACTTGTTTTTTAGTACTTTTTTCTCCTCTGGATTAATGGAACTAAAAAACATACAATAAATCCAAAGAGCAATAGAGATGATGACAATTGACTTACTTGTTTAGATTTTTCCTCCAATATTTGTCAATTCCATTTTTTAAGATTAAAAGTGACATATAACGAGTAGAAACATCCAGTTGTTGATTAAAATAAAAGTTGAGAACACTGGTATAAAAATTTGGCTGCTTTTCAAAAACTGCAATACTAGCTTCTGCCTGTTTAACTTGATTAATGTCTTGACTAACGCAATTTCTGATTGTAGCAAAAAGTTGATCCATTTTTTGTAAAATTTTCTTTTTTTTTCTATTTTCCACTAAATAATTAATATCTTCCTCGTTTTGTTCTTATCCTATATAAGAAACATAACTTTGTGATGATTTTAGTATAAATTACACTTGAGTAATTAACTTGGAAACTGCTTAAAACATGATTTTCACAATTTGCGAGTTTCTAACGTGAAAAAACACGACTTACGTAGGAAGTCACTAGCTTCCGCGTTTGACTTATGTTGCTTAACGGGTAAAAATAATTTGAATTTCACTAACACTATCATGCAAAACTGCGCAAAACATCAAAAATGAAATTCTCAAAATTCTTAACTATTCAATGGGATTAATCCAAATATCATTTGAATACAAAAAGTAGACGATACATTAGCTATTCTGCCTTTTTAAGAGCTTTAACATCATTATTGGGAGATATTTTCGTGACTTTTCAAATTTCATTTTCGATTTTGTTTGTAAACAAACAAATTACTTTGTTTGTAAACAAACAAATTACAACCAAAAAAATTCAAAACAGTTAAAAAATTTTTAACTTAATTTTGTCCATTTAGGTATGTTAACGCAGCATTTTAAATTTTTTTGTGAACTCAAAAAGAACAGAATTGAATTAGGACGTAAAAAAATACATTTGGAGATATATCAATAAACAATAATGAAGATATAGCAAAATTCCCAAAAATTGTACGTGAGTGATGCTTCAAAAAGTGAATTGAACAATAATGGATGAAGATTTTAATTCTCTTTTCAAAAAAGTAACTCTTAAATTTGTCACTTTTAAGGATAAGGAGATAATCAAGAATAACAAAGCGTCACTCACATACAATTTTTTTTTTGACGAGGCCCACATAAATATTTCTTAAACTCACTCAAAACCAAATAAAATGAAAAACTTTTTTGAATCGATTATTCTCCTTTTCATTACCTTTAATTTAAGATATCACACGGAAAAAATGGATTTGAAAATTATGATATATGGCTGATTTAATGTTTAATCTGTTGGATTTATTTTTAATCCATCAGATTAAACACTATTTTCAGTATATCTTGAGAACTAAGAAGATTCATAAATGTCCGCCCTACTACCTTTCGTAGCTTTCTATTGATATACATATCAATATGATTAATTTTGAGTTGCGAGTTGTAGGTTAGGTGACAAAATTTAAACCATTTTTGATTAAAATAAATCCATCAACTTCGTTGATGAAAGTGGGCATGTTTAGTATCGTTGGATAGGTCTTTTCAGGCCCTATATAATAAAAAATGTTTCATCTAATAATTCTCTAAAACAAATGCACAAGAACAACTTTAATGTAAGCCTCCAAAAAGCTAGTTTTTGCGCTCTACTGGATCAGGACTAGCACCAAATATTGTGATTTTGGTACCAATAAATTCCTAAGATGTAAAACAAAAAAGTTCATGCAAAGCGCCATAATTTGACATATAAATAATTACTTTTGGATAAAACGGTGGACCAGTAGATTGGGTGACAAAATTTGACCAACATAAAGAAACACCTTCCATGTTCCACGCGGAAGCTAATAATTCCTAGTCAATGATGTATTCTTTTATTTTTGGGTAAACAAGAATCAAAATCTTTTTAATGTTTACTAATTCAAACTTTTAATTTAAGCTTCTTAATCATAAAAAATATATAATTGGTAACAATTAATAAGATGCTGTCAGTTCATATTTAACGAATTAATTTATTTTTAAATTTTTCGAAACGATTTGCCGGTAATTTCCATGAGAAAAAATGAGCAGCACCAAAAACAACATGTCAAAGATCCAGAAAAAAGTCAAGTCAAAACAATTGATGATAGGAGCGGAAAACAAGGAAATTGAGTTTTCTAATGAGCCACAAAATGTAAGTTAAACAAATTCATTTAAAAATCAGCTATTCCATTTTTAATAATTGTCTCAGATTTTAGCAATTTTGAATTATGGACTGCTTAATGGAATTAAAACAGAGATACTTATTGATAGAGTTAATGAGATAACCAGTCTTTTGGATCTAATTCTTCCAAACAAATCGTATTGTTTCCTCAAATTTCAATCATGTGACGAAGCAGCAAAAGTCTTAACTGAATTGAATGGAATCAAATTGTGGACTGATGGATATCCTGTACTAATGAGCTTCTGTAAGAGTATCCCAAAATATCAAGACTATTTAAATGAGGAACCATCTGGATTAATAATACTACTTGACTTTGTGACTGATGAAATTGAAAAGAAACTGATCGCATTGCTAAAATGGGATGAGTGTAAAATGAAAAATCGTCAAGTTCAACATTTTGGATATGAATTTATTTATGGACAAAACACTGTTGATTATAGAAAACCTCTTGAGAGAAAATTGCCACCAGAATGTGATGAATTATGGACAATATTCGATACGAAATGTCCAAAATTCAAAGGATTTCGTCCTGATCAATTAACAGTGAATAAGTACGAGAGAGGAAGTGGAATTCCAGCACATTGTGATACGCATAGCGTTTTTGAGGATCCCATTATTTCACTATCACTTTCCGCTTCAATAGTCATGGAATTCAAAGATCCAGTAAACGGAAAACATTGCAGCATACTCTTACCAAAAAAATCCTTACTGATTATGTCAAGTGAAAGTCGCTACGGTTGGTTACATGGAATTACTCCTAAAAATAGCGATATTGTTAAAACAAAACATAATCTAATGACAGTACAGCAGCGAGAGCTAAGGTATTCGTTTACATTTAGAAAATTAAGAATACCTCCATCGTGTGACTGCAAATTTCCGTTACTTTGTGATATCCAATCAAAGATTGTTAATGAACAAAATAGTAACAATGATCATGAAGTAGATCAGAAATTGGCTGCAAAATTGGAACTAGAAAATGTTCATAATGTCTATAATGAAATTGGAAATCACTTTAGTGAAACTAGACACTCTGCATGGCCTAATGTTGAAAATTTCATTATGAGCTTAATAGAAGGAAGTATTTTATTGGATGCAGGATGTGGAAATGGAAAATATCTCAACATAAATGATAAAATAACTAAATTAGGATTTGATCGTAGTTCAACGTTACTACAAGTATGTAATGAAAGGAACTTTCAAGTCTTTCAATCAGACTGCCTACAAATTCCAATCATTAATGATTCAATTGATGCGTGCATTAGCATCGCTGTAATACATCATTTAGCTACACATGATCGAAGAGTTCAAGCAATTAGGGAAATGCTTCGTGTTTTGAGGAAGAAAGGTCAGGCATTAATTTACGTCTGGGCAAAAGATCAACAGAAAGACAATAAAAAGACGAGATATTTATTGCAGCATCAAAGCAAAGATATCGAAAAAGTTAATAAATTGCCTGAAATGGCAATCCTTAATATTGACGAAGAAAAAATAGAACTGCCAATTCATAAAAATCGGACACAATTTAAAAGCTCTAACATGCTTGTTCCTTGGAAGTTGAAGCAAAAAGAAATTCCAGAAGAGCAACATAAAATTTTCCTTCGATACTATCACGTTTTTGAGGATGGCGAGCTGGAAAATTTATGCAAGGAATGTGGAAATGTTGAAATAGTCAGGTCTTATTATGATCAGGGAAATCATTGTGTTATTTTAAAGAAACTATAATTAATTTCTGTTATGCTGAATCGCAAAAAGCAAATAAATTTGAAAACTTTATTCCTGTTTTTATTATTATAATAATTTTAAATTTAAGTTTAGGCAGAAAATCTTGAAGATGAAAAAAAAATGCTTTTCAGAAGTGCTGTTGACACTTTAAATGCGATACATGTTTAAGGAGTACATCTCTGAAGGAATCTTGGATATAAGCAGACTTCTCGAATATGATAGCGGTTCAATAACCAACACAAGAATCGTTCAAGACCCAATCCATATCCACCATGGGGCGTTGTTCCATAAACTCTTTGATCAGTATACCTAAAATGATAATTAATTATTTCCTAAGGTTGAAACAATTTCGAGTTGATAATTTTACCAGTAATAAGGTTTGGCATCAATTCCTTCTTTTTTATATGCAGCTAATAATCGTTCATTGTCAGCCTCACGCATAGATCCACCAATAATCTCTCCAACGCCTGGCAAAAGGACATCAACACTTTCGGTTAATTCTTCATTTTCAGGACATCTTGCCATATAGAAAGCTTTGATTCCAGCAGGGAATCTACAAAGCATAATTGGCTCATTAATTGTATCTGTCATTTTTCTCTCGGGTGCTTCAGGAATATCCTCTCCAAATTCATAGAATGTTCCATCATCTTTTGTTACATTATTAGCTTTGAGCCATTCAATTGCTTCTCCATAATCCATACGTTTAAATGGACGTTTGGGTGGCTTAAAATCTGGATTCAATTCCTTAACAATGTGTGCGTAAGGTGATTTCAACACTCTGTCTACAACATCGCATACTAAATCTTCTAAAGAATCGAGCAAGTCATTAAATGATATAAATGCTCGTTCAGCTTCAACATGACTGTATTCAGCTAAATGACGTCGAGTACGAGATTGTTCAGCACGATAACTTTGTGCGATACAGTAAACATCACCAAGACTTGGCATGCAAGTTTCAAGGTAGAGTTGAGAACTTTGTGTAAGATAGGCTTCCTCACCAAAATAATCAAATTTAAAGAGTGTAGATCCACCTTCGACTTGAGTTTGAACCATTGTCGGTGGAGTTACTTCCGTATGTCCACGATCATAATAATGAGCACGAAAAGCTTGCATAACAACTCCTCGCATCTTTAAGATTTTAGATGTATTTTCACCACGAATCATCATGTGTCTGTTGTCTAATTGAACATCAGGATGAGCTTCTTCATTTAATAAGTTATCAGCACCTCCCGCTGGCGCTAAACCAACTAATTCCCAATAATCAACAATCAATTCGTGTCCATTTGGAGCAGTTTTGCCTTCTGGAATTTCTACTAATGTTCCATAGAATGCAACGGATGATTCAGTTGACAATAAAATTGCATCATAAGTTTGACATAATAAGTCAGTAAGCACACACTGCAAAAATCCATAACCATCACGCAACGTTACAAACATTAATCCTTTTCCTTGTCTTCGTAAACGATGAACCCATCCAAAGACTTTAATTCTTATTCCACGATTTTCAACTCCTCGATTAATGCGAATTAACTTAGCTTTTTGCCATGACGCATCTTCAGCAATCTTAATCTTCTTTGCTTCCTCTAAATTTTGTTCTCTCTTTTGAGCATCATCTGCTTCCTTTTTGGATTTATCTGCTGATTTGTTAGATTCTCGTACCCACAACTTATGGATCTTTTTCAATTGTGATTTTGCAACTACTTCATATGGACTTTCAGACTTTTCATCTTTAGCATCGACATAAATCGCCGGGAATGGTTCCTTTCCTGCTTGCCTCATTGCTTGTAAAATTGATTTAAATGGATTTTTTGCTGATCCATCTCCAGTTTCATCATTGCCACTTTTTTCAGAAGTGTAAATCTCACCTAATCGATAAGAAAATATAAATTTAAATAATTTGTATCATTTTGTATGAGAAGCTAGCGTAGAAAAATTTCATCATCTTCAGATTAATCATCAAATTTTAGCCACATTTACAATTTTGTCTATTTTCAATTGAATTTAACTAATTTAATACTTTCTTCACTTTTATTTGATTTATAGCTACCTAAGGATAATTTTTCCATAGCTTCATCAGCCATTATCACCGTATTTCCTTATTTATTTTATGTGATAAGTTTTTACAATATTTCACGTTTTTCTTTGAATTGCAAAACTTAGCTCAAAGCCCTGACCTTTTCGAAAACAAATATTCGAAAATCACTTTCTAGCACGTGTGATTAACGGATTTTTCAATATAATACACCGTAACCAAAAACATAAATGAAACGTTGTGTAATATTCGATTTTATCAATTTTAATGCATTTATTCAGATGTTTCCAAAAAATCTATCAGCTCTAGCTTTACTTCCTCTTTTATTTTTAAATCATTCTCATATTCTATCTTCAACGATGTTTGATCACCATGATATGAAATTTCCTTTTTTATTTGCACATCTTTTGCATTTTGACAAACGGGATTTTCCTTTTCGACCTCTGATTTAGTGACTGCGTAATTTGATTGATACACTGGATTTTGTCTTTTTAAGCGCATTCTTGCTGCATTTTTCTCGTTTTCAGCAGCCCGATATACTGGATCTTGTCTTTTTAAGCGCATTCTTAATGCAGTTTTTTCGTTTTCAGCAGCCCGATATTCTGGATCTTGTCTTTTTAAGCGCATTCTTGCTGCAGTTTTTTCATTGTCAGCTGCCCGATATACTGGATCTTGTCTTCTTAAGCGCTTTCTTGCTGCAGTTTTTTCGTTTTCAGCTGCACGATATACTGGATCTTGTCTTCTTAATTGTTTTGTTACCAAATCTCTAGCTTGCTCTGCTGCTCGATAAATAGGATCTGATCTTCGTAATCGGCGCTTTTCATTGAAAATATATAAACATACTTAAACTGCAAATGTCTAAACAAAAATTATTACCTTATCATTTTGTTTTGCTTGATTTTTCTTTCGTCTTCTATCTTCTCCTTTAACTGTGAGTGGTTGTCTTCTTCTTTTAGGCATCTTCTATAAATCATCAGAGATGAATTTTATTTCTAAATTTACTTGGTTATCAACATATATAGGTACGATTATTTTTTGAAAGGGATAATTCACTTATTATGTAACACAATAGCATGTTTACATGAATGTCAGCATCATTTACGGTTTAGACAATGTCGTTTGACAAATTGCGAATAAAATTTCAGAGGAATTTCGCCATACAATGAAGCAGATTATGACCCTTTACTATTTAGCATCAAATTACAGCTGTAGATTACAGATGTACTTACGTCGTTACGTAAAAATTAAAATTACAGCTTTAATTTACAGCTGTAGTTTAATGTGTATAAATAATATAAAGCTGTAAATACAGATGGTGTTTACAGTTTTCTATTTAATCTTTTTGTAAAAGGAAAAATCATAGTCAAAACCAGCAGAATTCACGAAAATTACATCAACTGTAAGTACAACTAAACACTTGTCTAAGTTATAAACATCAACTGTATTTACAGTTGTATGTTATTTACACACATTAGACTACAGCTGTAAATTACGGCTGTAATTTGATTTTTACGTAATGACGTAAGTACATCTGTAATCTACAGATGTAATTCGATACTAAATAGTATAGGGTCAGTTTCTCATTTTTTGTGTTAAAAATTGAGGTATGGCAAAGTATCAGCCATTATCAGTGAAATTAATGCACAATCATGAAGATCAAAAGCTCATTAAACTTAAAATGCTACAATTTCAGATAGAGCTTTTATGTTGAACTGTATATTTAAAGCTTGTATATTCTCTTACTTTTCAATTGCATGCTGTATTGAAATTATGTTGCAAAGAAGGAGCTACTCACTGCAAAGTGGTTGTAAACGAACAAAAATTAAAGAACGTGCAATGAAGAAAGAGTTGCTTAATTTAATTAGAATGAAATTCATGCTGACAAAGAGAAAAATTATCATTTTTAATTAAGGAGTATTTAGTACGACAACTTTTCTAATTCATTAATGAAACTCAGTGGAGAAATTCAATGATGGTTTATTGATTTGAGAAAAGATGACAAAGATGCGACAAAGACCACTCAAAAAAGTTTTATAATTAAAGCTTTTTTAAAAGTTTATTAGTATTTATTACTTTATCAACTGTACTTATAAATTAAAACCATCTATATTAATTAGAAATACTTTTCTCAATTGACAAGGAGTATACTTCATGTCCCTACATATACAATTACACATGTGAGTCTTATAACAACATCTGAAAAAGTCCTTCGATTTCATGTCATATATTTACGTTAATTAAGAAGATTATTATTATTATTATTATTTATTCAGTTATTAATTTAATGAAGGAAAAGCCGCGTGAAAAAGGATTTACACTTTTTCAGGTGGCATAAAAACCTTCTTTAATCTTTTCTTAATAAGTATATAAATGATTTTAAGTTTCAATGATATAAGAAAATATCGTTTAAGAACTTAAGACTAACGGAACATTTTTTTAAGCTTTAACGGTTAAATCAGATTTTAAAATTGATGTACTAAATTTTACTAATATTTTTTTGTGATTCCAGATAATTCTAGTGTTTTAGTCAAGTTCATTCGTTATATTTGGAGACTTACATAAAGGCAGATGACAAAACAATGTGAAGTCACTAAAGATAAGGATTTTTAACGGTTATAAAATATGAATGAGAATATGGCATGCATAAGTCAAGGGAAATCAAAGAATTTTATACCTGAACTAGTTGAAAATTGCTGGCATAAGAAAACATGAAAATCCCTTTAAATGTTTTCTTTTAGCTTAAAAAACTACTATACATGACTAAGTTGCTTCCAAGAGAACCATTTATTCAGTTATTTGATACAGTTTCATTTTGTTCTGCATGCTTCCGCTGTGAAAAAAAAAATGTTTTCGTTAAAAAGTCTATTAATGAGCATAAACAGAGCAAAAAACGTACGATTACCTCACTAAATGATTAAAAATAGAATGCAAGCTTAATTAATTTTTGCCAGCAATTATCGTATTACTTCTGGCAGTTTCCCGACCTACGACATTAATTAAAACTGAGGAACGAAATTTTCACGTCTAAATAGTTTTTATGCATTAAAATTTACAATAAATTGTGCTTGATTTATTCTTATCGATTTTTATATTGCGAGTGATTAGGTCAACATCTGTAAACGCCCAAATAAAATAGTTTTACTTTTTGTAAACTCGACACTTTTTGAGCATCTTGACAATGAAGAAATTTCTTCGTCGTCTTCATTATCAGATGTGGAAATCTGAGATTGTTGTGTACCTTGGAAAATACAAGGAAGCAGAAAAAATTACAGAGCACTCGACTGGAAAAGGTCATACAGATGACTTCTTTATACATACACGTACATTTAAAATTAGAATTGAGATGAGTTTGGCTATGGTTTGAAAATTTAAAGAAAGGTAGATCAAATCGCTATGATATTGAAAACTTTTTATCCCATAATAATCATTTGAACTCAAGCGTAAGACGAAAATTCATGAGGTTAGCATAAAATGAAAAAGCAGGAAGAACTTTTTAATTCATCATATTTTCGCACGTTTCGTACTTCAACTTTTCTATAAAGGCAACGAAGGACGGGAAATAGGAATAAAAAAAATTCATCTCTTTTTATTCTACGTTTTCATACCCTCTCTGTTATCCACTATATCCATCATGATTGAAATATAATAAGTTACTTCCTTGGAGGTCGTTTTTGATGCGTAAAATTTGAAAATTCTAATCAACGCATTTAAAGAAGTAAAAATATGACAAGCATTGCTTTAAGAAAGCACGTCACTTGTTCGAATGCTGTTAACGACGTAAAATAAACTTGCTTGGAAAGTTATTAGCTGTCTTAATATGTCTAAACTTACATAACGTAAAATAATAAACTCACACGTCAGGAGGATCAAAATGAAACGTTATAATATTCAGACATTGAGTTGAATTTTAAATTCACCCATACTCAGCATGCGACGACTCATAAATTTAATGAGTTGCTTCAAGCATGTAAAATATTTCAAGACACATCCAGTTAAATAAATAGCAATTAACCCGAGTATCACATTATTTTTTATCTGCGGACTCACCATTTTGTTGTGGCATAGCAAACTACATTTTTTATATCTGGCACAAATGGTTCCATTCATTTGAATATACATAGAAGTATCTTCTCAAAAAAAAATCCACCAGAAGCTTCTTAATCTCGACCCTTTCAAAAATGCTAAATTTGTGTAATCTTTGCGTGGTTCCGACAAAAAAATTCTAAGAGCTAAATTTCATAATTTTTTATTTTAAGCTAAACCTTTAATGTTTTACCGAAGCCTTGATGGGAACCATCCTATTAATCAGTTTCATCTTATTTGTTCCTGAACAGTTTGTATGAGTCGCTCTTCATAATATTTATCATGTAATATGATGCTTACATGAAAACATAGAAAAATTGGAATTTTTCTTCCAACATTCTAGCATTCGTACAAAACTGTAAATTTCATGTACATATTGCAAGCATAATAGTGCATAATAGAATGAAAATATGTGACATCACAATATAAATATGAAATTTGTCAACAACCTCTGCTTGAACATCTTGTTGAAAGTTAGATGTAATGTGTACATTGTGGTATGCAAAATGAATTTATTGCAAGCATCTGTGAATATGAAAAATTCTACATCAGAGATGTGAAGAGTGTTGATATATAAAGTGTAGAGAATTGAAAGTTAAATGAATTATTTTGAAGGATTTTTCAAATGCATGATTACAAGAGCAACCAAGAGAAATGACCATTCTACGTAATTTTTTCATGAAATTTTATGCTTGAGCAATTTGATTTATTGAAACTTGAATTTTTTCTTTCCTTAGCACTCCTTATATATTGCTCAATGAAACGGTTTCTGAAGGACACTTAAAAAATAAATCATTTTCCTTCCTTTTTCTCTGTTTTTTCAATTCTTCTTTCTGTTCTATAAAATTGCTAAATTTAAGGACAAAAAAAGAAATGAATGTCATCAGATTCTTTAATATAAAAAAACGTGGTAAAATAGTGTGGGAGAAATGTTATTAAAAAGTTTTCCTTTTTCCTTAAATACCAAAGTTATAACGAAAAAGTAGACATAAATTTTTTATAGTGAACGAAAGCATAAAGACTGAAAACCAAGAAAAAATTATGCAAAAATGTTGTTCAAGCTGAATAAATAAGAGAAAAGAGTTACTTATGATGGATGAAAAATTCCATCAGCATGTATGTAGAAATACATACATAAGAGTGAAGAGTGCTTAACATTAATGTTAGTATTGCGGATTTTCGATTGGGTTTTTCATCACGTGCTTTATTTCACAGCTTTTTATGATCCATAAATCTATGCAGAATGATACAACGCTCATTTCACGAGAAAGTAGTATAGATAATAACAATAACATCAATATTAAAATTGCAACATGATCCTACAGCATACACAGTGTATTATTAAATTTATAGTGATATAATTCACATTACATGGACACACATAGTATGAATATATGAATTCGAGCACAATATTATGCTATAACATGTGGTTTAACATCGATCTTCATTAATAATTTAATCTCATTATTTTGGCATACAATTACTATTCAATAGGATCTCTACTCACGCTGCTAGCAGATGAAATTTGAAGAATAAACCTTACGCAGCAGGCACAAACATTTTAAAAGTTTAAAGCTCTCAATAGATAATGTTGAAAGTTTGAAATACAAAAATGTCACGCGCTTTAAAGGAAACAATAGAGCACTAAAATTTGCATCAAAGCCACAGATGTTTCCGAACTAAACCGTTATTGGGGTTTTCGCCTGATTGAGTCAGAATTTTTTAATAAAGTCATGTTGATATGGAAATATTTAGAATATGACACCACGCATCTAAAAGTATCTTTTATTGTTTCATTTCCATTTTACTTGCTCAGCAATAGAAAAGTTCCCTCTTGCCAGATTTGTGCATGGAGCATAGTAGTACAGCAATTAACTTGCCCAAAATATTTTTTGAATTCATGTCTTGTGGTTTGTGGTAAGGACCGTAGCTTTTAGAAGCTCCTTTCTATTATGACGTCAGTTTCTCTTATAAACGACATTTTCACAATGACGTAATTTTTTAAGAACTTTTCCTACACATTTGAAAAGCATGTGCTCCTTTATTATGTTTCTCGTGATAAAGTTCAGACATTTAATTACTAATTTGATTGACATAATAATTTTGACTACATACCGAGCACATATAATGATTTATGTACAGAAGTAATGAAAAAACTTCATCATCAGATTAGGTTTTGTAAACTTTGCAGATATTTTTCTTAGAGATTATTCCAATCAAATCAGTCACTCAACAGATTTGATAAAGAACATACATAACTTTTAAAATATAATCCGATATTATGGAGTATTCACAAGTTCGATGATGGCTTAATGGATCTTTAAGCTCTTTTTAGGAAATAAACATTTCAAACAGTTTCAAATACATTCTAGCTACACATTTTGATTTTTATAGAAAAATTTTGTTTTA